CTAGAGAGGAGCAGGGAGCTACTTCCTGCAAGGCCCTGTGCATAGGTAGGATACAGAGTTTGGATTGATTTGCGACTCAACAGGGGAATGAAGTAATGAGAGTCATATTTAAAAGGTCACTCTCTAACTGCTAAGAATGTCCCCTTAGAAGGCTGTCTGGAGTACACACACACACACACACACACACATATGCACATGCACACAGTGCTAAAAAATGTATGTGCATTTTAAGAAAGGAAAAAGCTGTATTAAAATTGAAATATTCAATATGCACAGTATACTGGTAATAGAAGATGAATACAAGTCATGTTGAGCACCTCTTGCAACTGCAGAAGTCAAACATGACTTCAGTGTTGCACATTTACTATGGTTTTTTTTCTTTCTTTCTACATATATATATATACACACACACACACACACACACACATTTCTTTGGCACTCTCTGTATACCACTGAGTTTTTTAGCTTGAGCAGCAGGGTAGATGGTGGTGCCATCTTCTGAGAAGGAGAAGACTTGAGGAAGTATAGACAGACTCAAGAGTTCCCATGCTGGAATGATGGCTTTGGGATTGTAGGTCACTTCAAAGTGGATATGCCAGGAGGCAATTGCACAAATGAGTCTGAAGCTCAGGAATAAAGTCTGGGCTGGAAATAGAAATTTGTGAATCGTCAACAAATGTCTGGTAATTAAAATCAAGGACTGGCTGATACTACTGAGAAAGAGAGAGCTAGTCTGGGACTAATCCCCAAAGAACCCCCCAAATCATCCATTCAGCAAACATTCATTAAATAACTTTGTATGAGGCCCGTGTAGGGTCTGTGATATGCTGATAAATAAGGCTCTATCCCAGCTCTCAAGGAGCTCCTCCATGAAGCTAATGGAGGAGCTCGAGTTGATCTAGCTTTTGTGGGCCCTAATGTTCATTAAGAAAAAGAATGTAAATTCATTGCTACAGAATTAGGTGTAAGCCGTGGAAAAGTATTTATGTAGAGAAGAGATAGGCCTGGAAGCTTAAGCTTCATCAGCTTGTGGTAAATATTCTTCAGTGAGAAGATAGATAAGTAAAGCCAATAGTTACAATGTCAACAAGTGTAACGATGTAGATAAATGCTGAGGGTCCGGCAGAGTATATTTCTCAACAGACTAGAGGGGAGGTGACACTTAGCTAAGTCTTGACATATAAGCAGCAGTTCACTGACTGAAAAAGGGTCGGGGATGTGCAAAGGCCAGAGGAATGAGGGAGTGTGGAGAGACCACAGCCAGCTGTGCTGTTCCATATGGTGGCCACTAGCTGCATACAACTACTGAGCACTTGAAATTTGAATAGTCCGTTTTGAGAAGTGCTGTAAGCATAAAATATGCACTGGGTTTCAAAGGCTTAGTATGAATAAAAGGATGTAAATATCAGTATTTTTAATATAAATAACATGTCAAAATTACGGTTTTGGCATATCGGATTAAGTAAAGTATAACCTAACCAAATATTATTGAAATTAATTTTACCTGTTTCTTTTACTTTTTAAGAAATATGGCTAGTAAAAAATTAAAATGAGGTACTGCCACGGAGCAGCCAGGACTCACCAGGATTCAAACTGTGAGCTCTGCTTTGAGGGCCAGCCAAGGGGCTGGGGACTTCCAGGTCTCTGCTAGCTCAGAGGTGGCTGTCCAGCTTTTGAGAAAAATAAAATTAAGATGATGTTTGTGGCTTGCATTTTATTTCTATTGGGCAGCAGTAAACTGCAAATAAGCAGAGGCTGATGTGTGCTAAGTTGAGGAGTCTGGACTCTCACCTGAGTGGGGGGCTCCTAGTGTGTGAGGGGGCCTGATGTGCATTGCTCAGAAATGTGAGAGGTGGAAAATGAACCAACCAGAAGTGGAACAGGTCAGGAGTCAATAGGCTGTGGAGCATGATAGGCAGGAGAGTAGGGGGATAAGGCCAAATTTGAGAAGTTTCAAGAACTAGGTCTGACAGCTAACTGGGTGTGGGCTTTGAGGGAAAGGAGGAATTTGTGTGGACTTCTAGGTTTCCAACATAGACAAATACAGTGGATCGGGGGCAAGACGGTGTTCAGTGAAGGGCTAACACAAAGAGTGCAATCTGTGTAAAGGCAGAAGTCAGACTCAGGCATGCAGGAAATATTTGTTGAATGGATTTTTTTACAAAAATATCCAGACTAAAATGTGTGGTTCAGGAAATATGTTACAAATGGTTGAGAACAGGAATGGTTACATGAGTGAGAAATACAAGTTGGAGGTTAGGAGGACAACCCCCGTGGAGGCTGCCACAGTTTGCTCTCAACCCCAACCCCAGGTTCCTATAAATAGCTGTGAGGGATCCCATTGTTCAAGCTCAGCCAGAGGCATCACAGGTGCTGGGGTGTTAGGCTGGCATGAAGACATCCTCTTCCACTACCTCAGCCACTTTGACAATTTGGGGGAGGAGAAAAAGGTGGAGCTGATAAGACTGAAGGAAGAGGAAGGAGAATGGGGTAATGTGGGGGGGGGGGCGGTGAATGTGTTCATAACAAGGGCATATTCAGAAAGCACTTAACTTGCCAGTACTGCTACCCCCAAATGGTCCCATCACCCACACCCAAATGTAGGCAAACATTCACGTCCATTCATAATAATGTGAGCATTGTCTATTTCATGGAGTTGTATTAACCTCAGAAAGCTGGAGGTACATACTGAGGTTAGCAATGAACAGTGGACCAGTAGAAAAGCATTTTGGCTTGAACCATGAGGATTATGCACTATGGGGCAAAGATCAGATACTCTGTCCCTCTGTAGACAGAAACAGTCACCCCAAGATATAGCCTGAACTCTCAGAATTCTTTGCCTCTAAAGAGAGCTGACTCATTCAGTAGGATTGAACATGATAAATAGTGAGATGGCCAAAGGGGGTTGGTGCTATAACCTCCTGTATCCCAGTATACGTACAAGTGTGTCATGAGAGAGTTGAGAGGGATTTGTTAAAATGCACAGCACCCCCTTCAGATTGTTCCATTCATTTATATGTTCATTCATTCATTTGTATGTTCATTCATTCATTCAATCATGTGTATCTAAGCATTCCAACCGCCTTCATCCTTCAAAACTTACTCAAATTCTACCTATTTTAGAAAGCCTTTTTTGTTCTTCCTGGCACAGCGCCTTTATGCCTTTCATTTCAGGAACCACACTCTGCTTTGTTATTTATCTATATTATCATTGGTTTCAACTTATTTCTGGACTTTGGATCCATATTCCAAATATTTTTGTATCTCCAAAGCCACCAGCACTGCACCATATAGCAGATGCTCAGTAAATAAGAACTGAATGAATGAATAAACTAGAGGGACGAGTGGATGGCCCTCAAGCAGGCACTATGTTCTATGTTTTCTGAGCTGGACAGGGACATGGATGTAGCAGGTTCAGTTCTGTTCTGTCCACGGAGGTTGGTGGGGTGAGGGAAGCAAAGGAAAAGTAAAGACGACTCCTGGGGGCATCCAGTAGTGACCCTGCTGCCTAAAGATAGCATAGAGGCCAGTGCTATCTTTAGGGAGCAGTATCCACTCGTTCAGCTCACCTTTACTGAGCACCTACAGTGTACAAGCCACTATGCTGCAGGGTAGGGGAAAAAGAGATGACTACTCGCATAAGTTCGTTACATGGCAAAATGTGGAGTCTAGCTGCATAGCCAATTCATGTATGTGAAAAGTTAAATAATGCTTTTTTTTTTTTTTTGAGACAGAGTCTCATTATGTTGCCCTTTGTAGAGTGCGGTGGCATCATAGCCTACAGCAACCTCAAACTCTTGGGCTTAAGCGATTCTCCTGCCTCAGTCTCCCAAGTAGCTGGGGATACAGGAGCCTGCCACCATGCCCAGCTATTTTTTTGTTGCAGTTGTTACTGTTGTTTAGCTGGCCTAGGATAGGCTGGAACCCGCCAGCCTTGGTGTATGTGGCTGGCGCCGAAACCACTTTGCTACGGGTGCCAAGCCTAAATGATGCTTTTCTAAAAAGTTCAAATGGTATAACGAAACTGTAAAAGCAAAATGGTAAGCTCTTGGTACAGTAAATACTATAAGCTTAAGGCTTTTTAATTTTGGATTGTGTAGGGCTGCCCCACAGCTTTCCTGAGACACCAGTGCTTATCGGATCACACAGCCAATTTTAGTATCACAAAATATGGTTATTGTTATTCCACAGCTTTTGAGGAAAGAGGTGTTGTAGTGAGCTGCAGTGAGGTGGTGGTGGGAGTGGAAGAGGCTGTTTGGGAAAGTTTCATACAAGAATTTAACCTGAATATTATAAAAAACAGATTGCGTTTGGGTAGGCAGAGAGGAGTGGAGAAGGCATTTTAGGGAGGGGGAAGAGGCAGGAACAAGGAACAGGAGTTGTAATAGATTAAGTGTGTTTAGAGGACAATTCACTCATTCAATTAATACATATTTATTGAATCCTTGCTAAGTGCTGGGCAATGTTCTCATGCTGGCCACGCAGTGGAATAGGATAGTCTGTCTTCAAGATGCTAAAGGGGAAGTCAATTTGTTTGTATACTTATTAACAAATAACATACAGATAAATTTGGGAAAGTGCAACGAAGGAAGAGAACAGGAGTCTATAAAAGGGAATTATACTTAGCTTCCCAGGGGAAGGTGACATTTAAGTGGAGACCTGAGGAGTGAAGGACAGTGCATTACCACTAGGGGAGGTTCCCTGTGATGGAACATCCAGGTGGGTGAAGAGGATGGCACATTTGAGGAACTGAAGGACTGTCAGTGTTACTGGACTATAGTGAGTTGACACATTTGGAAGGGATACTGTGTGCAGGTTGAAGCCAGATTGTAGATGGTCACACTGGGGGTTTGGGCATGTTAAAACATTTTCTGAGACCAGGTTATCTTGGGGTGTGTTTCTGTGTTCCAACCTGAGGGCTTCTCGGGAGAGACAGGGAAGTAGGAAGAATGGGTGATGGCCTCTCCATGATATCCTGTGACTCTTGTTCCTATTTGCAGCCAGGCGATGGGGCCATTGCAGAGGATGATCTACAGGATAACAAGAAGCTGAAGGTGAGTGCCATATGCAGTCTGCCGGGTGGGGACACTGCAGGGTCTAAGCACATGGCCACAAACCCACTTTGGCTCTGATGCTGGGAGCCTGGCTGTGCTCAGGCCTTGGGAGCTCCTGGGAACGCTACCAGAGTGAGCCAGGGGAGAATCAAGCTCTCATCTCCAACTGGTCTTTGAGGAAGTGCTGGTTTGGGAGCTAAGTCTGCATGTTACAGCTGGCTGTGACTCCAGCTTTGCTTTGTGACCTTGGGCTTCAGATTCTGCATCTATAAAATGACTGGACTCGGGAGGTGCCTGTGGCTCAAAGGAGTAGGGCGCCAGCCCCATATACCAGAGGTGTGGGTTCAAACCCGGCCCTGGCCAAAAAAAAAGACTGGACTAGATGAATTCAAGTCCTATTTTATAGCCCAACATTGTATGATTGTTTGATATAAAAGTCTAATGTGGCTTTCGGATTCCCCAGAACCAAGAGAAAGATAGGAGGGGCACTGGAGGGGGAGAGTGTCTAAGGTCCTCTCCTCTCCTCTCCTCTTCTCTCCTTTATCCTCAGCCCTCCACTCCCCTCTTTTTCCTTTTCTTTTCTTTTCTTTTTTTTTTTTTTTAAGACAAAGTCTAGGGATTTCCCTAGACTTAGTTGTCTACATCCTATGGGAATTCCCTAGACCTGTTGTGAAGTACTGTTTTACCACTGCCACTAGATGGCAGGAGAGTTCAGATCCAGGGAATAAGGAGATGGAAGGAGGGGAAGGGAGGGAGGGAAGGAGAAAGGAAGAGGGAGGGAAAGGAATGAGCAAGTGCTGAAGTGTTGTCTTTGGATGTTCCCTTGTAAATCAGATGCTATTTCTATGTGTGTCACTATGAATAAATGTGTGTCACATCTGTGTACAGTACAGGGGTGTGTGTGCGTGTGTGTGTTTGTGTGTACCTGTAAATTTGAGCATGTGGGTAGAAACAAAAATGAACTGAGAATCAGAAGACCTGGGAACTAGTTTGACTTTTTCATTTACTCCTTGCACGACCTTAGATAAGCCAGCTAGGTTGTTTTGAGTTTTTATTTCATTTTTTGTAGATGAGGATTATACCTTTGGTTATCTCTGGAGGTGGGACAGTGATAAAACACAGTAATTCTGGCTCCCTATTCAAGGGGTCTGACTTTATGGTGTGTGGGTGAGGGTATGTTCTATGAAGGTGTGCTTGTAGGATGTGCAAACCCTTGGTAACATGGTTTCCTTAATACAGGAGTTCTCCCTGTTGAGACCTTGGGGAATTGTTCTGTATGTAGAATAAGCCAGTCATGGACGAGTAGAGGGGTGGCTGAGAAAGAAAGCAGTGTAACTGTGCTGGCTGGAGGTGAAGGAAGAAGGGAGGTCAAGATCTGTGCTTTCTCCCCGATCTCTATGGGAAGGAGGCAAGGTTAGTGAGGTGGTTGTTTGGTTCCTCCCCTGCCCTGGGCAGGGGCCCACTGAAGCCTGTGCGGCTCTCCTCTTGCTCAGCTGCCGTCCTTGCTGACCCGAGGGAGCAGCTCGGCCTCTCTGCACAACAGCACCATCCGCAGCACCATCTACCAGCTCATGCTCCACAGCCTGGACCCCTTGGGGGAAGGTAAGCAAGGCCTCCCTGGACCTGTGTGGTCGGCCCCACCCACTTCTTCCCTCTTGCAGCTGAGAAGAACTGAGACCTAGAGATCTGAGAGGCAGTGGGTATGGGGTGAGAAGAGAGTTAGCAGAGGGAAGAGTGGATATTAAAAGGCAGGCAGACTGGGAGAGGAGGTGCAGGCAAAGATGGTGGACTCACCAAGAGAGGGCCTCAGTCCTTAGGCATCCACACTCCTCCATGTCCCTGCCTCAGTGTCTCCCTATAACGAAGGGGCTTACCTGCAGTTAGACTGAGGACCACATGCTCTGCACGAGTCTTGTCTGTGTTGGGGCTGCTCTCAGTGGTTTCCCTGCAGAGCTCACTGCCTGGGACTTGGCTCTAATGTCCCACAGAGAGTTTCCAGCTAGGCGGATTGGCTCAGGCTGACTGGCCAGGGCTGCTTCTGGGGATGCCTGTCGGGCTCTATAGGGCTTCACAGCCCAGAAGCTCTGAGTAGCACTTCCCTTTACTTTGTATATAGCACTGGAGTCCTAGGAAGCCTGCTAACCCTCCCCCAGCCAGGAATCTCAAGGACACCCTGGGAGCTGCCAGGATCACTTGTGGGGGTGGTGAGGGTAGGAGCAGGGTCCATAGTACAAGGGAGATTGAGGTCCAACTTGATACAAGATAGATGGCAGCAGCTGAGATTCTCACCATCTACCTTATAAAGTCCTGCCTTCGGCCTCCCTTCCCCAGAAAGCTGCACCCAACATGCTTCTCAGGCCCTTAAAGGCCACCTCCTATATACTATCCTGCTCCTCTTGTACCCTTGTTTCTCTGGGGCTTTGGTGATGAATTCAAACCCATGTAGGAAGCCAATCAAAGAAAGACTGGTCTTTGGACAAAAGCCAAGGGCTCTGACTGCAGTTGGGCAGGAGGGCTGAGCTGAGTATGACACCACAGAAGGACCTATAGAGCCCCAGGAAGCATCCTGACTGACTTTCTGGTGTAAGAACAAATTTGGGAGACTCAGAAGTTTCCTCAGGCCCTGAAATGTCCTTTTCAGACTAAATATCAGGTCCTTGGGCAGGCGAAACAAGTATACTGTACTGTGAAAAGCAGCATCAAAGACAAGTAATGAAAGGTTCCTTGGAAATGTCTCAAGGTGAGCCTCGGCAAGACACTGTAAGAGGCCACCCCCAAGTATCAGTACCTCTGGGGTTTCCAGAATAAAATCTGCAGTGCCTGGCAGCCTCTAGGTGGTGAGTGTTGGTTACACATCTGCCCTGGGCCCGATGAAGAAAGCAGTATCGCTGGGTCATGATTGGCCACTCCCAACGGAATCACTCATGCTAGCAAAGTGCTGAAGATAAAGACCTTCTCTTGAATGGGACTGCAGGGCCCACTCCTGGGTCACTTTAACTGCCGCCACTGCCAGCTGGCCTACTTGCCCTAACAGGATTATGTGATGTCCAGGCCAGGCTGAGGTCAGAGGAGATTGATGCTAAAGAGATGATCCTGCCACATTCAGAGGGGACAGGTCACGTGAGGAACAAGCGCTCGGAGGCAGTGACTGTCAGCTCAGGGGAAGACAAGCATGCTTACACATCATCTTTGTGTGTGGTGGGGCGTGGCGTGGCCTCAAGCTGAATGGTGATGTGCACATGTGCTCTGGGCTGCAGGCCTGCTCAGAGAGGCCATCCCTGATTCCGCACCCTGAGACTCCATCCAGGAGGGGCTGGGACCACACAAGGCTGTGAGGAGAGCCTTTGTTCCCACGGCTTTCCAGATAAATGCTTGTGTTTCCATATGCTGTTTCCAGATGGCTTTCCAGATGTTTCCACTCTTCATAGGTCTTCCAGCTCTTTCCACTGATCAGTGGAAGAGACATTTCCTGTGGTCTGAACTCTCACCTTTCCTGTGAAGGAGCTTTTCCTGTTCGGGGTTCCATGCGTCTTCTGGTGATTTCACTTGGACGTGTGTGACAGGAGGTGGGGGAGACCCTGCAGCTGACTTGCTTTCCTCAGTGACATGGGAAATGAGAGGCTAGTGTGTGTGATGAGGAATGATAAGGAAAGAAGGAAACTTGTTTTTTCTTGCCAGCCCCTCCATCAACAGCCAGCAAATGTTCTCAGTCCCAGAATAGGCACCTCCTTCAATGACACTACCACGTTGCATAACAGAAAGTTGCAGTGCTCGGGGGTGCTGGAGTTGTCTGCATGAAGGAGGCAGTGGGATGCTGGCCTCCTGACACTTCTGTTCTGATGAGAACCTGCTGGGCAGGCCACCAGGTCACTTCAAGGGAGCACATATCACAGTGGCGGCTCTGCACAGGGAGCTTATTGCCAGAGACCTCGGCAGCTGAAGCAAGTCTGAGAGTGGAGGCGCAGGCTGAGAGGAGGAAATTCCAGGCCCTTTTATCTGCATCCTGCCCATCCCAGACCCAGGCAGGGCTTTCACCTTTTCAGTTTCCTCTCAGCCTGTTTGTACTAGAGTAGATCTCCAGGGTTCCTTCTAACTTAGACCCCGGGGACACTGGGCCTCACCACTGCAGGGTTGCTTCCCAGGTGGGACACCTGCTCACAACTGCTTTTGTTAATTCATCATCATCATTGTTGGTGTAACTCAAATTTATATCGTATCAGACACTGTTTTAAGTAATTCATGTATAAATTCATTGACTCTGTCAACTACTCTGAAAGATTTTATGGATGAAGAAGCTGAGGTAAAGAGAGGTCAAGGGATAACCTGGCTAGGTCCACAGCTATAGTGCAAGTCATGGAACCATGATTCAAGCTCCAGAATCCACCCCAGCATAGCAGTACAGGTGAAGCTAGCACTTTGCAGCAAATCAGCATTTGTATTTATTTTGTCTCATGGACCCTCGCAATAGTGCTGTGAGTATATCATGGTGTTGCCTTTTCAGGGAGAGGATGTTAGAGATGGTACACAGTCTTTCCAAAGGTACCTGCTGCTCACGGGGTCTGGCCAGCCTGAAATCCATTATAATTCCATGGTACCACTTTGTTTTACCATTCATGCCATTGTCCTCACCCTCCCAGGCTCCACAGCTATGAAGAAGATCCCCATGAGCCTCTACATCTCAGCCTCTGTCCCTTCTTCATCTCCCACCTTGAAATTTACACGTGTAAAACACTTTGCATGTTACCTGTCACATTGGAAGAGAGTTGTCCTCCCCATTTTTCTTGCCTGAAAATCAGGGCAGCACCATTATGTATAGGCTGCTCTGTAGGCCTCCAGCAAAGTGTGTGCATGAGGATCTGGAAAGAGTGGTGGGTGTCTAGGGCCAAAAACAGTGTGGCCACCCATGTGAGTGGCTCACATATGTAATCCCAGCACTTTGAGAAGCTGAGGCAGGAGAATCACTTGAGACCAGGAATTTGAGACCAGCCTGGCAACACAGTGAAACCTTGTCCTCGTCTCTGCAAAAATTAAAACAATTAGCTTGGCATAGTCTCAGCTACATGGGAGGCTGAGACAGGAGGATCTCCTGTACACAGGAGTTGGAAGCAGCAGTGAGCTGTGATCACATCACTGCACTCCAGCCTTGGTGACAGAGCAAGATCCAGTCTCTTAAAAAAAAAGAAGAGATAAAAATTAAAAAAATAGTTAAAGGAAGATGTGGCTGACAGCTTGTTGGTCAACTATTTTTTCTTTCCCACTGGAGAGGGGAGGTTTCCCACTGGCCATCAGTAGTTCCCCGGGAGCTATAGCTAAGCTTCTAGTAGACTCATAGGAAGGAAGCTGCAAAGGATCTTACAGGTAGTATAGTTCAAGGATGGCAAAAACATCTCCCTGCAATTATTCCTCCTTTCCCTGATCATCACAGACATCACTGCTCAATCATGGTAATTTTCCAACCAAGTTTGGTATAGACTCCTTCTCCATTCAGGGCTCAAGCAACCATCGCTAGAGCTCATACAAGCAACCATCGCTAGAGCTCATACAAGCAACCATCGCTAGAGCTCATACAAGCAACCATCGCTAGAGC